GTTAAAGGTAGAAGTAAACGATGAAATGTAAATTTATAAAGTAGGCATAAAAGGGAAGATGATAGATAGTTGAAGTGGAAGGTGATCGCATAGTGAAGTAAAGGTTCGCAGGTTCGCGATGATGACGGTGAATAGGGTGAATTAATAGTGTATGTTGGTGATGGAGATATACTATTATGGAATGAAGAAAGAAATGATGTTTGGATGAGGTGAAAGTATGTTCGCTATATATGTATATTCTTTGATAGTAGAATATTGTGTGCAGGTGAGCGTGTAAGATTTGTGTTTGCTAAAGTGTTGTGTGTTCACGATGATTTATTCGACCTAAAGATAATTTCGTAAAAGACAAACTAATTCCTTAGTTATTGATTAATGATCCATTTATGAATTCATTATTATTTGTCCGAAGAGTTGTTCTTCTCGATACCCGCGACTCATTAATTAAGAGACCAATTCACTCTCTACTTGCTGTCAAATATTATAAGTCAAATTGTGTTCATAGAGGCGCTTTCTCAATGGGACCGAGATGTACCTAGTGTGTAATCCTTTCGGAACCCCTTAACTAGATTTGATTAAATGACTTATATTCACATTTTAATCAGAGTTCATGCTAGTCACATTGCGAAACAAATATCTTCCATTGTTGTCCTCCAGGTGTGGTGGTGATATGAAGAATAATGATGTTTCATTATCTAAGGAATTGATCTTTGCGTTTACACTACAAAAGCGGTAAATTTAGTGCCTATATGAATGATCAATATAAATACTCCACATTTCTCATATATTCGAGTGGAACAAATGGGGGGGGTGCATTGGAAAAAAACCTATCAAATAGTATGATGATGCTTTCTTGAAAAAGTGTCCTCAATTCCATTGTTTTTAAAGAATGTTGGACAGTATTTTAAGGGAGGTCCTGCGTGAAAATAGCTCGACAGCGTAAATACATTAAAATGGGACACATTCTTAAACTATTCCAGCTAAGAAAAAAGTGTAGGGCATTTTGGGCAGGTCATAATAAGTTGCTAGTTGAAGAACGAGGTTAGAAATTCATAATAAAGTTCGAACACAACAACCAAATGGCCTGAATATAAATAATGCCCGGCCCTCCCTCATATTTTCTTGGCTTTTTTTATTCAAGGAAAAAGCACAAGTGTTAAAAGTAAATGGGATGGGTTTGATACCTCCGGAGTTGGGTCATTGCTTGATCAACCCCCCGTGTGTGGATGAGTTGGTATTAGGTCATCCGAAGTTGATTAGAGGTTAGATGGATTGAATAGACTACTCATGTCAAGAATGTGCACATTCATTTTCGAAAGCTCTATTGAAAGAACTCTAAGTTAAGTGTGCTTACTCTCGAGTAATTTAAGAATAGGTGACCCCCTGGGAAGTCTCCCAAGGTGCGTGTGAGTGAGGACATAAGTCCGCTGGAAGGACTCGTGTTAACCTATAAGGCTAGTCTACAATCACAACACTTCCGGATTTGCATGGTTTGCAGTCCAGGGTGTCACAATGGGTGGCAAGGACATAACTCCTATTATAAGTGTTGCCAACCACCCATGCTAAACTTTTGGAGCTCCTTATAGCTTGTGCTCTTCCTAAACTGATCGCATTTTCTTAGTAAGTGAGAATTTTGCAAATGATTCAAAACAACCCCAATTTAGAGGCAGAGAAAAAACATTTAGGAGATTGGTGGTTACAATTTTCTGACTGGCGTGATGATTTCCAGTCATCCAATCTAGCATATGTGAATTTGATCGGACGAGATTCATTCTACATGGATCATGGTAAATTTCTTTGGATTGAGCTCCAAACCAACTGTTCTTTTGATTTTTAATATAGTTTATTAATTTTTATCTTTCGCATGTGAGATAGGATCGCGGACTTACAATTTGATTGATTGAAATAGCACGTTGTGAGATTCCTTACTTTTCCATGAGAACCAATTTTCTTACAATTTATTCCTCTGAATGGGACTGAAATTCTCAAAGTAGCAAGGCACATCAAATGATGCAAGAAGAGATTAAAAACTTATTTACCTAGGCATTTATACTCAGTTGAGTACATATTAATAAAATATCACCATATATATTTATAGAAATTAAGAGAACATGCCCAAAATCAGTGTTATCACTTTGCAATGGAACTTAAAAGTTGATAATGTCATGTTATCAAATAAATTGAAAATAACGAATTTGAAAAATGTGTATATCAAGGAAAAACAATTCGGTTTCATCATAATTTGTGTGTATGTACACAATCTTGTGATCGTGGCTAAAGATGTAAGTCTGATTGATGAAGTCAAACACAAGTTGAGTCGAACTTTTGTCATGAAAGATATGGGGTTAGCCGATGTTATCTTTGGAATGAAAATTATAAGACGAGATGAGAGCACTATTCTAACTCTATTCCATTATTTGGGAAGATACTGAGCAAATTTAATGCTTTTTACAACACTCCAGCAAAAACCTCAATAGACCTCCGTGTGCACTTGAGCAAGAATAGGGAAACCCAGTAACTCAAAAAGAGTATGTCAGAATCATTGGAAGCCTAATGTACCTAATAATTTATACGAGTCCTTATCTAGCTTGCCCATTAAACTAGCTATGTCAATACACTAGCGATCTTAATCACGAATATTGGAAAGTGCTACTGAGAATCTTGTGTTATTTGAAATTTACTCTTCACTTTGACATACATTATAAGACATATCCTTCAATACTTGAAGGCTCCCATGGTGCTAATTGAATATTTGATACAAAAAAACTTGTCATCTGCTTTTAAGATGTTGTGGATGGTTTCGCAAACTTGAAATTGATTGGACGCTATGAAGTTCATCGCTTGAACTTTCCGCATATTGCTATGCGTTTTTACTTTTCATGGTGACTATACTTGTCTTTAGATTCGGGGCACTTAGTTTTTCGAAGGGTCCCCCATGCGTGTTTTGAAGTAGATGTCGGGGTTCATTCCGACTGAGGAACTGCCTTTTTGTGTCGGTTTGGATAACGTTTGATATGCTTTTGTTGCATTTATATCATCGCGACACCTTATTTATATAATCTTAAAAATAGAGTTAGATATTTTATGATAAGATTATCTATATAAGTGTGAAGTATGAGCTATTTTAAATAAAATACTTACAAATCCAAAAATGTGATCCATGACCAAAACGGATCAAAATGTAAGAAGAAATTAAATGTACATTGAGGTAGAATAATTCAATGTATCATGTCAATTGAACCATAAGTACAACCTGTAATATTAACTACAAATTACATATACTGATGTGTAGATGTCTCTTTTGAACTGAGTAGTGCACTTGTCCTTACTACGAGCATTTATTGTTGAATAATTTGATAATAATAAATAGAATTTAATTTAAAGGAAATTAAATTCAAAATTTTCTAAAAATTGATTTTCCGGTGAATAGAAATGTGTTGGGAAAAAAATTTTGAATTGAGATTTTCTCAATTATTCGAAGTGAAAGATAATTAAAATTGTGGACTAAATAGCTATGTTGGGCTTAGGCTTAATTATTTAAGTAATTGACTAATTAATTGTGAGATTTGTCTCACATTAGTTATTACATCATTACATTACATGAATGTATTTATATATTAAATTGTGTAGTTAAAGTTCCAAGAAGTGTACCCAGGGCACGCGACTGCCGGTAAACCACACATGCGCATGCTGCCCGCCCCCCCGCCCGGGACCGGACCCGACAAGTGCACGAGCACAGGCTTCGTAAATTCTTGGCTTGGCGAAGCCAAGTTTTACACCATAGCCCAATACCTAACCTAAGTATTTTGTTTGTCTCTAGACGAGTCCATGTTTGAAGCCCATTCATTTAAACCCAAGTATGCGGCCCAAGTTACATTGATAGTATCCGGTGGCAAGTCTATCCATTGGAATCAAGAGTGAAGCCAATGTCAAAAATTATGTCGATAATAATGGTAAACATTATGGGCACTAATTCCGCATATTACCTTTTTCCCTGGCTGAGCCTGTAAAAGGGGCTTCTCCTCATTACTTTCAACACACCAACATATCCTCTCATCGATCTTCTCTCGTATCATCTCTTTCCTCCCAAAAGTTTTTCGAAAAGCCTTTTGGCACAACACAGTCTCCTTCATTTTAATTCATCGAAGCTTCGACAATCAGAGATAATATTCTCTTTGGAGATAAAAACTATTTTATCATTGGGATTAGAACACCGACTACCAAAGCATAATTAAAATTGTGGAAAGAGAATGTTTCTCGACTCGATTTTACAGTGATATTAACTCTATTATAGCATTAATAATTTTCGCTAATATATTATATTATTATAAATGAAGTGATTTCTTTTATTATATATTATGGTGAAATTACATATTCAAAACAGTAATTGCTTCCATTGTTGAAAGTAAATTGTAGTAAACACGACGATTGTTAATCTTGTAGCAAAGCAAAACCCCATTTATAGTCAAAACTGAAAAAAAGTCAATGGCTATAGCGTCACTTAAATTCACTAGAAACCCAATGGTTGGACAAAATTCAATGAACAATGAGGACGTTCCTTCATCCTTCCGTTTCAGTACAAAGTTTGACAACGACCTGAATTAATAATGCCTTTGATTAATTAGACCCCTGGAAGGAAACCCTAAAATAAAAAACGATCAACAAAGTCAACAAGCTCTATTAATAAGCGAAATTGCGAGACCACACATTCCATTCATCACTAAATCACAACAATTATTCATTCATTTCTTTATTTATTTATAATGAAACTTTCGCAAGAAAGCTATTCACCTTTTCCTGCTTAGCCCGTAAGATTTATGGTGAGCCGTTGGATCAACGAATCCTGCCACGAGAGCCGTTGATTGAAGGGAGGGTTGAATGGTGCCTTGAAGACAAGGTTAGCTGCACATGTGTTTATGTCAATCTGCTATGACCAAATTGCTAACGTAACCTTTAAAGCAAAGGTGGTTTCTTTGCTTGTCTATGTCAAAAGAAGCCAATCCAATATTAAATGTAATAACAATATACAACTTAAAAACAATTGTATTACTAAAACCCTCCCACATATTATTAATCACTTCCCAAATATCATCCTAGCTTCACTAACCTTTATTCCTTAGTTTCCCCATCCTTATTTGCATATATAAAATTCTAAAAACATATAAAGTTTCAATCTTGGCGAGAAAAGATGGCCTCGAGGAGTGACTATGGTGAAGAAAGCATGACACAAGTTTCAGTGTTGCAAGATGGATTTTGTGCGAGTCGAATACTCTCGAGGGAGTCATCCATTGGCAAATCTTCGCGAATTTATTATCGGTCGGCTGAAGGGATCCCCTTCAAGTGGGAATCCATGCCGGGGACGCCGAAACATCCCCAAGAAGACGATGTTGTGCCACCACCTAGTCCTTCGCCATTGATGCAAAGCTTGGGGCTTTCCTTGCCCAACGTGGATCATGATAAGCCTCAAAGAGTCCCTTTGAAAACATTTAAGATTGGGAATCTTAAAGAAATCATGAAAAGAAGGATCAATTTTGACGTGGAGATGATGCTAGGAAAAAAAAATAAAAAGAAGCCTGGAGCTTGTGTAGAGGTATTGGAGGTAGTTAAGGATTCGAGTGTTTCTTCTTCTGCTTCGACTTGTTTGTCCGAATCATCGTCCTTCTCGTCCCACAGCCGCATGTGGGATTTATCCATGAACGATGGCCCGTTTTGTTGCAGCCCTTGGAGCATTCCTTCGGTACTTGTAAGAAGAGTTTAATTAGTTTTCATTTTTTTTAAAGTGCATTGATTCCACGCCTAGCTCAATGATCGATCTTAATTTATTTTCTTCAATTAATTAATAGTGTAAATTAAAATAGTAGTTTTAATTGTGATCAAGGGTTAAGTTGAACATATATATAAGCAAAACTATTGTTCATAATTTCTTTAGGTTTCGAAAGTCAGCATAAATACCCCTGTACTTTGAAAAATGGCATGACACCTTTAATACTTTCAAAAATATTACATGAAACCTCTCTATATTTTTTGAAACTCCATGAATCTCTATTTTGTTTAAAAATTATATAGCGCTCTTTATATTTTCAAAAATATTTCATGAAACTTTCCACTATGTAAAAGAATATAGATAGAAAAATATTTTCTATCACACAATGAGGTTTCATGGCGATGGGATTTCATGCAAAGTTTTTTAAAATATGAGGAGACATTTTACGATGAATTTCGAAATCAGATAGAAGTTATGAATAATTTTACCTGGAACTAATTATCTTCACTAGTAAATTTCTCATTAATTTTGAAAACAAATTATATTCCTTGAAAAAGCTAGGAGCTTGCAATCGAGTTTATAGTTTGCTACTAGCTATAGCTCTGAGTCTTGTGAATTAAACAGATGGTGTTGTTGAGGCATATATACGTGAGTTCATACATGATATATTATATCGATCATCATCCTAAATTAATCCTCGATCTGATGATCTCTTAATTACTACGGTACGTAGTGATGATATCCGTTAACTGCACTGCAGGTTGAAGGCAAGACAAGAATATACTACTGCAGCGGCAGCCACGACGACACGGCATTTGCAATGGAAAAAGAAGAAGTTGATGATGATCATGAGGATGATTCATTATTCCTCAATAGGATCCTGCCAAGATTACCTTCGGGCGACCTTTCAGGCCCTTCTTCACATGACATTAATAATAAAAGAGCTGCTGCAGTCGGAGTTCCTTTCCAGTGGGAAATGCAACCGGGAACGCCAAAAAGGCAGCTGCCGGAAAATGATGACCTGATCCCACCTCAGAGACAGCTTGCTCTTCCACCCCCGAAAGCAGCCATTGTCAGAAAGGGGCCCTGGACGAGAACTGCCTGGAGTTGGATTAAGGACAAGGGACGAGGAACTTCAAAAATGGGTACTGCAACTGCAATCAGCCACCGGAAAACAACTAAGTTTGCTCTGTCCTGGAGATACTTTAAGTCATCAAGCTAATCTTAGGCTTAATTTGTAGTGATCTATCTATCTATCTATACATATATATATGCCTTAATTTACAATTTAAATATTTATATATATTGCCATGAATATATATTTATAATTGGAAACATACATGTACCCGCGGCGGATATAATCAGAATTTTTTTTTTTTTTTTTTTTTTTTTATTATGACGCGGGAAATATAATGAGAATTGTTGATTATACATAATTATGTTTATGTTGTGTGCGGTATATTTACTAATGTTCGGCCTATCATGCTTAAAAAAATATAGAATTTTGCAACAAATTGAAGGAGAATATGGTGAATTCCAATACGTTGTGCATGAACATTATTCATGATTATATCCATAAAAACTTCGAATCTTAATAAATTTTTGCTTCAAAAGTAATTTTAAAATAAATTTATTCTGCATCATATAATAATTTTTCTAACATCTCCAAAATAATAATTAAATACTCTTTTCGTCCAAATTGGATGTACCATTTTTGTACGTCTCACTCACTACCAGAATAATGAATTTCAGTCTCGGATTCGAGACTGCAAAAATACATATATAATATATATTAAATGAAGTAAATTGGGTTGGTCTCGTATTAGTTAAAATAGTCTTGGAATATTCGATGTCATATTAAATATATATTTTATTATATTAAATAGTCTTAGAATTTTCGAGGTCATATTAAAATATATATTTTAGTATATTAAATCATTTTGAAATTTTCTAGGTGACATTAAACATATATTTTATTATATTAAGTAATCTCGGAATTTTTGATATCATATTAAATATATATTTTATTATATTAAATAGTTTTGGAATTTCTGAGGTCATATTATATATTTATTTTATTATACTCATTTGTCCCTTAACAATCTATCTATTTTTTTATTTGGTCTATTTCATAACAAAAGTATCTATATTTTTTTTAGTAACGGTACTTTTTTACTAATATTGAAAATACCCTTACAATTTATAATATATTAAACAAATGTCATCACGTTTATATCACACAATTCTAATAAGGTTATTTTAATATTTTCTACTTCATCCATACCACACCCTAATATAATACTAATATTCCTAAAACTCCGTGCAAAAAGCAAACATATACATAGATATAGATAAGGGAAGGTGGAAGTATTAAATAGTCTTGCAATTTCCGATGTCATATTAAATATTTATTTTATCATATTAAATATATGTTTTATTATATTAAAAAGTTTCAAAATTTCTAAGGCCATATTAAATATATATTTTATTATATTAAATGGTCTCAAAATTTCCGAAATCATATTAAATATATATTTTGTTATACTCTCTCTGTCCCGTTCTAACAGTGCTAAAAATATCTTTATATTTGTATAATTTTTTGCACAAATGTTATAGTAATAATATTATAAGACACTAATAGAAGTATTTTTGTTATTTCCCCTTAATTTGTATTATATTTTCATATAATAATTAATATTCAAATATTAACATGGAAAAAAATAAATGAGACCCTTAGAGCCAAACGAAAATAGTATTAAGTAGTCTCGAAATTTTTGAGACCATATTAAATATATACTCCCTTCGTCCAATATCTATATATCGGTTTACTTTTTTCACGGAATTTTAAAAATATTAATATTATATTAGAATGTAGTAGAAATAAAGATAAAAAAGACTAAATTAACTTTATTAGTATTGTATGATATAAAGGTTATGACATTTGTGTAATATATTATAAATTAGAAGATTATTTGTAATATTTAGGTACAATTACTAGAAAAATGAAATGAATACTTGGACGGACCAAAAATAAAAAAATGAATAGATTATTAAGAGACCGAAAGAGTATTTTATTATATTAAATAGCTTCACAATTTCCGAAGTCATATCAAATACATATTCTATTATATTAAATTGTCTCGAAATTTCTGAAACCGTATAAAATATATTTAATTATATTTAATATATATTTTATTATATTAAATAATTTCATATTTTCCAAGACCATATTATATATATTATTTTATTATATTGAGAAGTTCCGAAAAGTTTTGAATCCATAGAAAATTCAAATTCTTGCCCAAATCTCTCATCCTCTCTATATATATAATAATTTAATTTCTTAAAAAAAATAATGGAATTGCAGATAAATTAGAGTAGAGAATAAAATTGGAAAGAAATAAAATTGAGTATAGAATGAGAATTAATTATATTGTATGGTAAAACTGAGAATTCAGTTGAGAAATATAAAAGCTATATGAATTATCAAATAATAATAAATGATTAATAGGAGAAAAAAAGAGTTTTAACAAATGAGAATTTATGAAAAATATTTTTGGTGATTTTTTTTATAAAAATTATAAATTATATACAATGTTTTTTAAGATTATATTTTAATACAATTTTTAAAAGATAGCTAAAAGTTAAATAGTTTAACAATAAATTAAATTTGATTTTTATAAAATTGAAATAATATAATTTTAAAAAATTTATAAAAATTAAATAGTATCAAAAAAATTAAAAGAAAATATACTGCAATATCATTTGTCTCTATTTCTCTGCATACGGAAAAAAAATGAAAACAGACAAATAGAAATGATTTATTTCTCAAGTTCCATTTCTCTAACCCGAACAAACAAGAGAAATGATACAATTTTCATTTCTCTGTCCTTACTTCTTTGTACCAAATGCAGCCTAACATTACACGCCCACAGTGGCCGATGTAGTGTCTTTTCTTCTTTCCAATCTTTTCCATTTTTTTCTTTTCTTTCCTCTTCATTCTTCTTCATTAGTCGCCGCCCACCGGCAACACTCCTTGGTAGTCACCGCCAGTGCAGCCGGCACTTGGTTCTTCTTCTTCTTCTCTAAAATTTTCTTTTCTTATTTTTCTTTTCTTCTCTTCTCTTCCTTTTTTATAGTAGCCGCCCGCCAGCAACATTCCACAGTAGCCACCGCCGCACCCCGCACCAGGTTCTTCTTTCCCAAAATTTTCTTTTCTTACTTTTCTTTCCTCTTCATTCGTTTTGACAAGTCGCTGCCCGTCAGCAACATTCCACAGTGCCGCCACCGCACGCTGCACCAGGTTCTTTCTTCCTTATTCTTCACAGTCGCCGCCGCTGCAGCCCACACCAGGTTCTTCTTCTACTATATTCTCCATTTCTCCTCCTTCTACCCCCGTCCTCCTCCTTCTTCGGCGGGCCGGCGGCGACTCCCCCTCCTCCTTCTTCTCCGGCGGCAGGCCAGCTGATCCTCTTTGTTCTCCAGCGGCAGCCCCTCCGCTTTCTTCTTCTTCTCCAGAGACTGGGCGGAGACGAGTCACTAGCGGAAGTCTTAGGGTCTTATTATAAATTTATTTTTTTAAAAAAATAAAATTAATATTTACCTCGGAAATTCTGACGCCATTATATATTTATTTGTTTAATAAAATTAATAATAGCTTCAGAAGTTCTAATGCCATTTTAAATCTCACTCGTTCTATCACACCAATGGTATATGGCTTCAGAAATTCCGAAGCTTTTGGAAATGGTCTCGGAAAATCCTAAGTAACATAAATGGCAATGAGTTTTTCTCTTAGGGTATAATTCCAAACCAAATTCTGAAGCCAAAATTAATTTGCCTCAGAACCTCTTTAAATTCCAAAGCAAGTTTTCCGAAACCATGTTAACAAATTCTTGCAATGACTCAAAAATATTGATTTTCTATTTTAGTAAAAGTAATCACATATTAATACTAAAATATCCTTTAACTTTTACATAAATTATAAATATACCATTACTCATACAATTATTAATTTATATATAAAGTACAATGGGCAGAAACATCAAAAACATCTTATAAACTCCCATTAACCTATAAAACAATATTGTTTGTTAATCTACTACAAAACCACAAATAAATCATTTAAATTGGGACGGAAGGAGTATTATTTCTATATTAGACATTCAACATATAAGTATTATAATTTGTGGAAGATTGACACAGTTTCTGGGTCTTGGACCGAGTTTGCGGCCGAAAAAATGAGCCGAAACCTTGAAGCTCACTTAGAATAATCCGGAACCTTATAGAACTATCACTATTGGAAAATAACATTTTGTAACGAAAAAATTCCATCTCCAATCCATTTTTTTCATTACTAATGACATTATTAAATTTTATCCCTAAAGGTCATGTAGCAAACGTCATCCGTCCCTAATTTTCGTTACAAATATATATATTCTTTTAGTGTATTTGGAAGACTTTGAGTAAAACTAGAATTTGTACATACTAGTTGGAAGAATCTTGTGGAAGGTTGTAGAAGACCCAGAACATTCCAGTGGCAAATCATAGCTCTTAGATCGATTCGATCTCAGTCACCTATTGTGATGAGATGGATTTGTATATATGGGTTTGGTCATTTCATTTGTAAATCATCAAGCTGAGAACAATAACGGGATTTTTCCCTCACCACTTTCTCTCTTTAATGACTTTCAAGTGTTTTTTATCGTGTTTTTGAGGTGTTTGAAGAAGGCATAACTAAAATCTTCTGAGTGTTTGAGAAGTCACTAGGCCGCATGGAAGGTATTCGAAGAACAATCAAGCAATCTAATAAAAATTCTCTAAACACTGAAAAATATTGCGTAGTAAACGTTGTCAAGGTCCAATATGTAGGAACTGAATAAATTATTTCTTTTATCATCACAATTCAATGTTTGAGGGAGAAATTAGAATTTAAATAAAATTAATTCAGATAAATGATGAGAAAGAACAATTAGATTTCAAATTAGGATTAAACAACTAGCCCAAGAAATGAATAAGAAATTGGATTAAATATTCGATCATTGAATTAAACTAATCTTGTTGTTCAATAGATATATTAGTTATAGACATTAGACATAATCATAACACTCAATTTTTCATACCTTATTGGCGGTATCCATACCTCCAATTAACCACACCCCTAATCATATCAATAAATTAGGTACGACTATAAAAGAATTTCTCCAATTGAATTAGTACGAGATAAACCCAATTTGAATAATTAATCAATTACAAAAAGGTTTATATATATGATTATGCAATTCTTTGGCTAAGCTTGTCGACCTATTTACCATTTCATCAAATAAATACAAATTTACATATGGAAATATTTTATTGGTACACAGTTGTTAAAATAATTTAAAATCTGGCCATGAAAAAAGATTAATTAAAACAATCGTAGATGCGAAATGCCAAAATTGCACAAATATTAACTTACCAATAATATTCAAT